AAAAAAAAAAAAAAAAAAAAAAAAAAAAAAAAAAAAAAAAAAAAAAAAAACTCGAGGAAACCGCGAGCGCACGTACACAATACAGCTTACCGATCACTGTACCGGCTAGCTCCTAGGGAGGGGAGGGGAGGGGAGGGAGGCAGCATAGCGGAGCCGAAGAAGGAGAGCGAAAGAAAGAAGAGAGAGGAGGCGGGGTGAAGGTGGAAGGAGGAGGAGAGACGAGCGGGGGAGCAAAGGAGTAGGAGGAAGAGGAGAAGAGGAGGAGGACCCGGAGGGCGACTTTTTATTTGAGCCTGACACTTGGACGGGCGTGCGCTCACAGGAAGTGTATTACACGGAAAAGCGGCGTCCCGGCGCCGGCCAGCAGTCGTCGCGAGGCCCGCTTCCGCCGTGCTACCGCCACACGAGATATGCCGAGGTTGGTGCCACCACTACAACCGGCCCGGGCCGACGGAGGAGCCGTCCCCGGTAGCTCCACGCCTCCACCGTGACTCCCGAGACCGATGGCCATGGGGCTCGCTACTTAGAGGACCCTGGGAATAATAGCAACGAGCACGTGCCACTGCTACTCCGGTGGGGAAGCTGCGAGCGCGCCCGTCATCGGTGGGTGTGTGAGTGTGATTGTGTATGGGTGCGTGCGTGCGCGCGTGTGTGTGTGTGGGTGTAAAATAACCATCGGTGCCATCGGCAGTGCAACACCGGACCTTGCGGAACACGGGACAGCCCAACTAGTGATCCACCGCCGAGATAAGACGAGACAACCCCTTATTGTTCTCGATCGTCCCCCTCCCCCCGTACCTATTGTATCCGTGAGGGTGGTGCTGTTTGGCGCGTGCCGCACGTCTGACGATCAGAGAAAACGACGCCGCCTATAAATATATACACTGTTGTACTCGGGAAGCACGTGCGTGCTCGTCGATCGGTGTGCCGTGGTGCGTTTCGGTGGGTGATACATACGTAAGGGTTGTTGGGAAGGACTGGCTTTGGTAGGAGTGTCCAGGACAGAGAGGGAGGAAGCGGACAGCAAGCCCGGGCGATATGAAAGGATGCCTTCGTCGGGACGACGAGGAGAGGACGTCCAGGAAGGGACGCCGCCGGCCATACCGGCGAGGACGATAGCCGGGAGGCTTCTCGGAGCCCTGCTTTTGCTCGTCGTCCTCCTCGAGCAACAGCCACGGTAAGCGAGCTTTCGTGCCTTTTCTTCTTACATCACGTACCTATTTATGTTTCACAAATCATTTGCACCATGTCACTTTGAGCTCTCATTCATGTTAATTACTATAACTACTTACATCAACGTGCCCGGATCAAAAGCGAACGTATGCATGACTGTCCATTCAAATCGGAGCTTTTTGCTTGTGACCAACGCGCGGATACCTCAAATCGTTCATATCAATGAATCTTCTCGTGAGACTAAAAAGGATCATTGCGCGACCGGTGATGAATTGATTAATAATTTTACGCAACCGTAAACATATTATGTACATTTACATCAAGTAGTACATATGATATCGGTACCGCGGGTACTACGGACCGCGAGCCCCTGGTAGGATTAATAATGAACAATTAGTCATTTAATCAAAAAAAGTACGCGCCATTTGATTTATAAACAGCAGCTCAGTCTGTAATTTTGTCCGTGGACATCGACCGATGTGGGTATGAATCTCGAATCGGCGAGACGTAGGTATACCTACGAGAGGAAGGGTAAAAAAAGTTTATCGTTCCAATAGTAATGAAACTCGGCATTTATATGTATCGCGATTCAATTGACAATTGACAAATGAAGGCGCGGCGGCAGCAGAACCGGAGAGAGACAAGGCCGAGGTATACTCAAGTATTATGTGTGAGGTACCGCCGTGGTATAGGCACACAATATAGACGTCAAAACGTCACTTTCGTTAGCTCTTCGCGTCAGCCGTCCGTGCAAATCGCGCGCCCCGTCCGAATAAGAAAAAGAGAGAGGCAGTCGGTGCAAAGCGGCGCACAACATACCTACACGCACAAGCGCGCGGGCTCGCTTATGCGTGCGGTAGAACCAATTTCGCGGGGAAAAAAAATTTTACGGGGCTCATCGGTCGAAGGTGACTGCTGTGTGCTCTTAGTCTTCTTTATCCCGCCTTCTCACGATGTATTCATCTATATATACACCATCACACCGTCGCTACCACTGACGCCTCTTTTTTTTCTTTTTTTTTTTTTTTTTTTTTTCCACGTAACCCGTGAAATTTTCGTCAACCTTTCTCATACGTGGGTCGCACACACACATATATCTCAATTAATCAGCCGATGCGCAAAACAAAAATCCAGAGTCCACCGTCATGACCATCACCAAGGCTGGCCTCAAAAATGAGTGCTTCGCTCTCGTGCACTCCCGACGTTATCTCTCCATCGCCGTGGCATGAATATGCGAAAAATAATCCATCGAGCGGGCATGCTCAAGATAACGGAATCAAGGGAGGGGGGAGGGGCGATCGCTTGTTTTATTTTTTGCCCCCCCCCTTCCGCGAAACAATTTTCCGTTGATCGTAGGTAATATGCCTACAGGTCGAGTTCAAACAAACGCATACTTTGACGAGTTATGCAAAAAAAAGGCGAGCCAGAGGGCCAGAAGAGAGGAGAATCGTCCGAATTTAATTAAAATGCAAAAGCCCGGCAAACCGAGTGGAAGCTGCAAGCTCGCGAAAATACCTGGAATACCTCGGGGGCTTTGCCGCAGCTCGAGGTTACGTAAGAAAAGCCACGGCTCGCAGAGCTATACATGTGGTTGATTGGTGGGATGGGAGGGAAAGCTCGAGAAAAGCGGAACGGGGGAGGCGCGGCGTTTTGGTATGAGAATCCTGGCGATTCGTTGTTCGGCAGGAGAAGGTGCAGGGTACATGTACATTTGGAGAGATGGTTTGGTTTGGTAATGGTGTAGGTAAAGAAAGAGGAGCGCGGGTTCAGGGCCCCACGGGGAGTGCGGACTGCGCGGAATGTTTTAATAAATGCATTCCTGATGAATGAACGACATTCACCGTTACTCCACTCTCGGCAGCCAATCATGTATATACGTTTATATTTGTATGCTCATGCGCGTGCGTGTCTGTATAATATACGTGATGGCTCGTTGATTAAAATTTCGTTTTCGTCACAGGCCGATATTTATAATGATGTGTACCTACTACTCCGCGCCATTATAATGATGATGCCCACTTCTATAAATAGCCACGCATTACGATACAAAAATCAAACGGAGCTAATGGTATATATATGTATGGGTATAGCCCTCGGGGAGCCTCTGCCGTGACTTCTCAATCTTTACGACGTTACGAGGCACATATTATTGGGAATTAAAAGGCCTACCGTTGTTGGAACAAACAATCCCCAACCAGAGTGTCAATCTCTCCCACACAATACACCTTCGTTCATTTTTCCCTTTTGGGCGGTGAACAATCGCTGGTTATTACACGGTTAATATTATTATTATTATTATTATTATTGTTTTGATTGTGATTATCATACGCGGATAGATCGTACAGGCATGAGCGTGTAATTTGTGATACAAAGTATAGCAAGAGCAAACCTAAAATAACGAGTCGAGTGACTCAACGTATAAGGTATATATATATTATGTGCAAGTAGTAAAAAGTTTCAATAATGTACTTGGTATATACAAGTAGGTACCTAGGTATACTAGCAAAAAAGCGCACCAAGTGAAATGGACATAAAAAAAAGGAAGGAGAAGAAAATAAGCCACCGGCGTGTACACATGTTGCCCGACACGCTTCCCCATCTGGGCAGCGTATATATATATATATATGTATTTATATAATAATTTCACTTGGAAATCCAGCGGGACGCGTGCGAGTGCTCGCGTTAATCGATTTGCGCACTCCGACAGGGGTATGACCAAACAAACCCGTATCGGGGACCGTGGATCTCTCGTTGTCGAGCGAATTTTCATCCAACTCGCGGGTCAATTAGAGCGAGAACTTCCCTTTGAAACTGCGGGATACAAATACAAATACAATATATATGCACACGAGATCGAAGCAGATTACCGCTCCCGTGGTGGAGCCTTTACGTAGGCGGAACTGTCAGGCTCGCGTCTAAACACACACGTAGATCGGCGTCTGAGAAAGCGCAGGTTTTCCGGATCAGCTGCGGGGGCCCACGAGCTCGATGTAAGAGAGCAGCCTCCTCACTCGTGTAATGTGTACATGTACCTATGCACTGCACAGAGAGAGCGTGTATCACGATCCTCCTCCACGTACTTACTCGCCTCCCACGATCTCTCTCTCTCCTTCTTTCTGACCTCCGTCCATATTATCACGCTCGCGTGTGTACAGGGGATAAGTACTATTGTCAAGTATACCTATATACTCGTTGCAGTGCTCGAGCCTTACTTACATACTCATGTCCCGCGCGGGCGCGTGCACCAATATTATTAGGTACATGTCCTCTCGCGTGCCCCTTATATTAGGCCATCCCCCGATAAACATTCCTCAAGTTACGTCCCGAACAATTTTTCATCAATTTTATATACCTATGCACGTAGGTGTACGTTGATGCATGTCTCGAGAACTTTCTCAGGTTGTAGAAAATCTTTGGCGAATCGTGTGCAAAAATCAGCCGTCTTAAGAGCACCGCGGTAGGTACCTAATGACCCTGCGTCGACTGGTAAAAGAAATTTTTTTTTTTTTTTTTAATCCAGGAGTACCTATACACATATAAACCCCTTAGCATTGCTCGGTGATGGGGTATGATCGAGTGGGCGCGATCGTATCGCAGCAGTCGATCCGACATACCTCGCCGATGATGATAAGTAATGCACTCTGATAGCGCGTGACGGAGAAAGAAGAATAAAAACGCGGTGCTGCAGCTCAGTATAGCTGCTGAGAGAAATCCGGTTGGTTATACCGCATAATATATATATAATAATAATGCTTTGTACCACACACCTATATATGTATATATACATCTCCCTCGGTTCGGTTTTAAATTAAAAGTGCATAGTTATTGGACGAGCGTACGATATTGTATCAATTGGGGCGATCGATGGGTGTAATATACGGCAAAAAGGATATAGTCTCGCGCGCGCGTGGTTAAATTATATTGCGTGCCCATCAGCATAGTAGTGGGTTCCCGGTAGGGTGGGAGCCAGATGTTTGATCTCGCTTCCACGAAACCTCGGCCCGCGGTGTATACCTACACTTGTACAGCTGCGATACGCGTAAAATTAGAATACGTAGGTATACATACCATTAGGGACGAGAGTATACAACGATCGCGAGCAGAGCCCCCCCCCCCCCAATCTTCGCGATTCCGGTATGGACGTACATATAATATATGATAACGGTGCGGGGGCTCCGTTGCACCAACTGCAACCTTTGCTCGTGAATATATGTATATATACCTACCTTTACCTATCATGTACATACTGCAAAGAACCAGCACCCAAACAAAAGCATTCATTTACCTGTCGCATTGTGCGCGTTGCACGCAAAGATCCTTATCTCGAGAAAGGGGCAACGATATTTAAACGGTATATAAACGCGTTAAACGGTACCGTCCGTCATTTGTTAAATTGACGCTGTCCGCGGATCCGCGAGATAATCCGGTGAGAGACAAGCCGGGGGCGCCTCCGTCGATATGCAGGGTTACCGAAAATGCCCGTGTACCTTCGATCCCTCCTCGAATCGCTGAATGAAAAAGCACTGGCTCCGTCACCACGTACAGTGTATGTGTGTATGCGGGGTACGTATACCTAAACTGCTCTATAGTGTTCCGCGCTAGCCGGGCGTTTGATGTCTCGCGTACACGCGCGCCCAGGGGCTAATTGCACCTCTCGTCGGCCACGTCGACTGGAAACAGACGAATTCTTCCTCACCCCCGTATATATACCAACCCCATGATACATATACACATTCCGCCCTTTCCTGGTACAATGTTCTGCATACCACCGGCTCGCCGATTCGTGTTCCCCTGCCTGTATGCCTACGGAAGATCTCTTTCTCCCTCTGATTTCTCTGCTCTATACGACCAGGGGGTGAAAGAGAAAAAAAACACACTATGTACAACTACTTCTCTCCCGAAGAATATCTACTCGGTTGTAGAAAGTGTTGCTTTGGCATTCCTTGGTACGTGTATGTACTATGAACTCTCTCTCTCTCTCTCTCTCTCTCTCAAATTATATGT